GCCAGGTGAAACCCAAGCGTTTCTGTCTCCAGATCCACGCTCTTCACCCCGGACATGCGGCTCCCCTGTTCCTAGGAGAGGGAGGGAGGAGGGGGAGCAGGCGGGGAGGAGGTTGGAGACTTCTCCATGCAGGTTCCTTTATCAAAGGTGACCCTAGAACGGAGCCAGTGAGGCTGAGACAGGCCCCGGGGCCATCCCCTGAGGGGAGGAGTGCAGGGGAGGGTGCCAGGCGGCCTGGGTGGAGATGGGTGAGTCAGGGGCCTCGGGGAACAAATGCGCAGTCCTGCAGGGGTTCAGGAATTCCCCTGGCGCCCCCCTAGGTGTCTCACAAACATCACCTGGGTGGGCGGTTCCATGACCTTCACATCCCTGCCCCCCTTGACTCCAGCCTCCTCCCTCTCCCGGCCGTTCTTCCTCACATCTAACTGGGATCCTGCCTGCTGATCCCCTGCAGACCCCAGCCCCGCCTGCCCGCTCTGCAGAGGGCCTGGCTCTGGGCACTCATCCTGCTAACAAGTAATTGGCTTTTGCTGGAGGAGAATGAATACCGGCTCATCTTAATCTTCCTCATTATTCCCGCTCAGCAGAGTCCACACAGAGAGCAGGTCTAATTTATGGGGTAAAAAATAGCAAAGTCGCCGAGGCCGGTTTGGCTCAATGGATAGAGCGTCGGCTTGGGGACTGGAGGGTCCCAGGTTCGATTCCGGTAGGGGGCATGTACCTTGGTTGCAGGCATATCCCCGGTGGGGGGTGTGCAGGAGGCGGCTGATCGATGACTCTCTCTCATTGATGTTTCTAACTCTCTATCTCTTTCTGTAAAAAAATCAATAAAACATATTTTTTAAAAAAATAGCAAAGTCATTACTCACCAGGAGACCAGGATGGGATCTGCCTGGGTGGCCTGTGTGCACTGCAGGCCTGGGGCTTTGCCTCAGTGGGACAGGCTGGGGGCTTCGGAACCCAGACCCACTCAGGGTTAGATCCCTGGAGACCACCCACCCTTCCTAGTCTGATAGGACTTAGAGCTCAACAGACCCAGCCTCCTCAATGTTCCCCAAGCCCCAGAGCAGGGCGAGGGGCCAAGCTCTTCTGACCCAGACTTAGCCTCAAGCGATGGAAAGAAACCAGGCGTTGGGTTCAAGTGCAGCCTTCTGCAGCCCCCTTCTCTGGGAAGAACTGGGCGAACCAACCCACTCTGCACACTGCCTTGACGATGCTGCCACCTAGTGGTGCTTAGAGGAACTAGTTCTTCCTTCCCTCCTCCTAGGGCCCACAACGAAAGGTACCATACACACAAAAATCCAGATTTACACAGTAAATGAAGCAGGACGAGGAAAGGGGACTTTTTCCCTCTTTTTTATTGATTTTTTTAAGAGCTAGAGGGAGGGAGATAGAGAGAAATATTGACTTGCGGTTTCACGTATTTCTGCATCCATTAATGCTTGTATATGCCCTGACCTGGATCGAACCCAAAAATCTCGGTGTATCAGGACATCGCTCTAACCAACGGAGCTGCACAGCCAGGGCTGACAGAGGACTTTTTCAACTGAAAATCTGAAAGGAAGTTCATCTCAGGCCCTGATCCCTTAAGCAAGGTGGCCGGGAACACCTGGCTCCTTCCCCTCCTCCTGGGCCAAGGATAGACAGAAGCCCTGAAGCCCACAGTCCTCGCCACCTCCAGCTCTCTCACTCCTCCTCCTCCTCTTGGACCCCCAAACTGCTGCCCTGCTCCGTGCCCGGGCACGCGCCCGTCTTTGATCATGTGCCGTGGTGACGTGACTAGGACGGCAGCTGGAAACCCAGCCTCAGCTGCTTACTCGTTGGATGACCCTGGCTGACCTACCCCAGCTCTCTGGAACGGAGCCAGTGAGGCTGAGACAGGCCACAGGGACGTCCCCTGAGGGGAGGCACGCAGGGGAGGGCGCCAGCGGCCTGGGATGGAGATGAGGGGCCTCAGGGAGACCCTCTCTGAAAATAGACATATCTGTGTCTATCAGAGAGGGCTGGGGAGAAGATTAGATGAGCTTAGCACAGGAACTGGCACCTGTAGGGCCTCAGCAAGGGCCTGTCATTGTCACCACCATCATCCTCGTCTTCATCATCACTCACCCTGCCACTCTTGGGAAATGTGGTTTCATCAACTACGGTAGACTGTTAGCTGCTGGTCTCTGACTCCCTGTCCCAGCTCCTTCCTGTCAGACAAAGGCAGGCTTTTCCTTAGAGCACACTGGTACCGTATCTGCCTCCTATAGCGTTTATACCGTCTAAGTCAGAGCACACAGTAGGTGCTCAGGAAAACTCTCAGCATTGTCCGCCAACACGTCCAGCCTCGTGTCAGACCATTCCCCCATTGCTCACTGAGCTCCAGCCAGGGTGGCCACCATTCTGGTCTGTAAATAAGTCCACTCCCCCGCTCAGGGCCTCTGCACTCGCCACTCCTGCAATGCTCTCCGCCCAGTTCTCTGCAGGTTTCTCCTCACCATCCAAACGTCCCTTCCTCAGAGAGGCGCTCCCTGATCCCCTTGACCAAAGAGCACCCCCACCCTCACTCTCCACTTTGTCTCCTGTACTGTGGAGGCCAAGGGCCTACGTGGCTGAACAGAACTCCAGTTCCGCTTATTAGCTGTGTGCTTCCGTTTTCTCACCTGTCAAAACTGAAAGCAATAACAGCTCCCACTTCGTAAGGCTGTGGTGAATTAATGTGCGAAAAGCTCTCAGGACAGTGCCTGTCGTGGATAGTGAGTGCTATTCCAGGTTAGTAATTTTCTTTTCCACTCATTTAACGGCTTGTGTGGAGTGTCTCCATCCCGACTGTGTACTCCAGGAGGGCAGAGTCCTCGTCTGTTTTATCCCTGCCTGCCAGGTAGTGGGTGCTCAATACATATTGAATAATTAGGAAGGGGACATGCAGGCCTTTCTCTCCTGAGCCCGTGTCACGGGCCATTAAGCTATGCGGCTGGCTAACCTGTCTGCTAGCTCTGGCGTAAACACTCCAGTATCCAGCGGCCCCTGAGGCACCCCCTGCTGGACAGTGTGTAGTTTCCCTTGAAGGAAACTGATATGCTATGCACAATCCCATAACTGTGCCCTCTCGAGGCACCTGGCTTAGAACTTGTGCTTCTCCAATTACTCTGTGTGTCATCTGCCAGGAAAGTCTCTCTCCCTCAGGCTTGTCATGTGAAGAAGGGGGATAACAATGCCCTCGCCCTTTTCCCCACCCAGCTAGGGCACAGGCTGGTGTGACAGATGCCCCCTGGGCACAGTGAGCCTTGCAGACCCCACCCCCACCCCCCAAGAGCAGCTGTCTTGTCTTCCCAAGCTAAACACCACCAGTCTCCCAACGGGCCCTCCAGGGACAGACCCTCGGGGACAGCGGGTGTGGACCACCCCATTATCTGAGCCCCTCTGCTCTCCTCTGCAGGCTCTGGAGAAAGAATCCGGTCTCTGGGTTTCTGGATCTTTCCTCAGAGAGCAGGCAGTTGGCTGGAGGTGGCCTTGCTGGCCTTGCACCCTCTTACTCACTCCACCCCGCTCCCTGGCTGCTCTGTCTCCGCCATCAATGCCCAGAGACCAGGCTCCCTGGGCCCTCACTCACTTCACACAATTGTTTCCGGCCCTCGCCAGTGCCCTTGGCTTTGACTGCTGACCAAATACACTGCGACTCCCAGGGCCCCAGACACCTCCTGGGCCTCCTTCCTGAACCCCCATGAGGGGAGCTCCCCCACCTGCAGCACCTTCCACACCCCCCACACCCCTGCCCTGACATCCGGTCCTCCTCACAGGCGCCAGGATTCGGTCCCGGCCCCCCAGCCCCACTGATGGCTCAGACTCCACCCACAGCCCCAAGGAGCCCTCTCCCAGCTCATACCCACCTGGCTCCCCACTTGCCCATCCTGGTCCCTCACCCCAAAGCTTCCCAGGTTACCCCCTTAAACCCGGAGCTCACGGGCTGACCCTCTCTCTTCCTCCGTGAATCCTCATCAACCTGGGCCCCCAGCGCAAGGCACGGCCTCCCCTGCCGCCTGGCAACTCAGGTGGGTGTGGGTGGTGCCCGCCCCACCGGACTGCAAAATGTCCCAGAGAGGACTGGGAGCAGGGGCCAGGCCTCCGCCTCAGACTGAGCATGCCCAGAGCAGGGGCCAGGCCTCCGCCCTTAGACTGGAGACTCCCTTTCCCAGGTGCCCCTCCTCGGTGTTCCCGGGAGGATGCCTCTTCCTGGGACAAGGAGTGTCTTGTTCGCTCTTGTCACTACGGGGCTCAGCTTACACCCTGCAACCCCCCACCTGACCAGCAGGTGGCATCAGGGCTCAGAATCTAAGAAAAGCTGGAGGGCACAGGTTTTATTGGACCTCACATCGGAGAGGGCAGATGGTTCAGGACCCTCAGCGGCTGAGAGTCCTGGGGAGGGGCTGGCGTTAGAGCTGCTGGTGAGGCCGGAGCCCGGCCTCTGCCTGCACAGACCCGGCACCACACCCTGTCCCCCCCTTCCTCCCCTCGAACCAGTGCCAGCCCCCCAGCCAGGCTTAGAGCATGACCATGAGACCAGATGCTAACGACTCCGGTCCGATTCCATAGCTGGAAGTGGGCGTGAACTGGAGAGGGACGTCCCGCTGGCCCTTCCTGTGGTCCCAGCCCTCCCCTCCCAGCCCCTCAGTCCAGGCCAGGGGCATCCCTGTCTGAGGTGCTGCCATCACCCACCAACCTGCCCTCAGAAGGAAATGAGAATGGGGAACGAGAAAGGCCTGGAGGGTGGCCCCACCTCAGAGCCCCCCTCATTCCGGCCCCTGGGCAGCTTGGGTGTCAGTCAGGCGCCAGGCCCAGCTCCCCACTCCTTGGCCTCACAATCACAGCCTTTGTCCGCCGGCCCGGCCTGGCTGGCTCTGCCCGGCCCGATGGGCCCTGGAAACCAAAGCAGCTGGAGCCCCACCAAGTATTTTTCCAGGCTGCGCCAGGGGCCCTCGGGAGACGGGGAAGGGTGCAAAGGAATTACTCCATCTGCCCATTTCTCCCAAGAAGGAGTCACATTTATTGCAAGTCTGCTTTACAGCAGGCACTGAGCTAGAGGTGGGGGACTCAGCCGCGGGCCCGGCCCAGGCCCAAGCCTTCACCCATCTTATTTTCCAGGTGCAAATACGCGCCAGCAAAACCCTTCTCTACCTGCGTGGGGGCCGGGCTGGGAGCCAGGGGCGGGAGAGGGGTGTGTGGGGAGGGGCAGGGGAGGGTGCTACCGCTAAGGCCTGTCTGCCCCAGGCCTCTGCCCCTGCAGGGCAGCTGGAGGGAGCTGGGGGAAGGTCACTCAGGAGGCTCCACCCACACGCTGCTGTTGGTCACCCGGGCCCCGAACCAGCCCTTCCAGTAGACGGAGTCCTGTCCCGCGTGCTCGAACCGGACGAAGCGAACGCCGGGCCCGTAGTCGGTGAAAGTGTGGGAGACCTGGGGGGAAGGAACGGGGAGAGGAAGGGTCGGACATGACACCCTAACTCGCCTCCAGCCCCAATTCGGTGGCTCAGCCCCAGGCCCTCTCCCACCACGGGGGCGGGGCCTTCCGCATCCCCGCCCCTCGCCTCCCGGACGGCCTCCCCGTTCACCTCGGTCCAGCCCCCGTCCTCGCCGTCCTGCGGCACGGCCACCTGCCCGGTGCTGAACTCGGCCAGCACGTCCTCGTGCTCCGACAGCAGCTTCACCGTGAGCTCGTACAGGCAGCCGGCGTCGCTGCGCCCCGAGTACCTGCGGGGGGAGCCGGGGAGCCGAAGCCTCAGCCGGGGGGCGGGGCTTCTGCAGAAGGTAACCCCGCCCCCCGCTGCTGCCGAGCCTACTGAGCGTCCCCATTTCACAGATGAGGAAACTGAGGCCAGAGAGAGAAAGTCACTTCTCCAAGGTCCAAACCCAAGGACTCAAACCCAGGTGGGCCAGACTCAACCTTGGGCCCCAAGCCAGCCCGCCAAGACGTGTTTTGTTTGGACTGTAGACAGATTAAAAACAAAAAACAAAAACAAAAAAAATTTTTTTTGGACAACATTTAAGCTCCGGAGGAAAGGTGGATGTCACCCTCTCCTGGAGACCCGGCCCACGGGGCCACAGCCACTGGAGCTGGGAGGCAGCGGCCCTGAAGCAGGGAGTGACTTCAGTCCCCTCCTCTTTCCCCAGCCCCAGCCCCCCAAGGCCCCCAAGGCCCCCAGGGCGGCTCACCAGTCCTTGACCACAATGGCCGGCTGAGTGGTGTCCAGCAGCTCCTCCCAGTAGCCCTCAGCCTGCAGGTCAATGACCTGCGCTTTGCGACACCACCTGGGGAGAGTGAGTTAGGGGGAGCGGAGGCCCCTTCTCCCCCTCCCCGCCCTCCCCTCCCGGCCCCCCTCTCCCCCTCCCCGCGCCCCCTCTCCTTACTCGAAGGAGGAGGCGAAGAACTTCCTGACGCTCTCGTCGTGGGCGAATTCCGCGCCGCAGTCCCCGGGCAGCTCCTCCACCCTCCAGCCGTCCCCGCCGTGCTCCACGTCGCACCAGCCCTCCAGGTCCTCTGTGGGGAAGGGACCGCCCACCTCGTCACCCGTCCCCCTGAGGGTGCCCCTGGATCGGGTGCTGGGCCAGCTGGGCCAGGGGGTGAGAGGCAGGCACTTCCTGTTTGTCCCAGATCCTCTCTCCCCACTCCCATCCCCCGGGAGGCGCGGGAAGAACCTGGGAAAGAGAGGGGAGGGGGCTGGAGGAGGTGGGCGGGGAGGTGATCCTGCAGAGTTACCGGGCTCTCTGTGCCGGGCATTGTGCCCAGCGCTCTATCTCATCTCGCCCTCCGAGCCGGCTGGCACTGCATGTGGCCCATTGTCCGGAAGAGCAAACTGAGCCCCCGGCCCCAGGGCCGCGGGGCCGGCCCTCACCTTCCCCGCACGGGTTCCGCAGCAGGTTGCGCCGCCTCTTGCTCAGGAAGTAGAACTGCTGCCAGTGGTCGCGCTCGTCCTCCGAGCCGCCCTCCGGCACCAGCCCCTCCTGCTGGCACTTGAGCAGCCACAGGGGGGCGCCGTCCACCAGCTCCTTCCAGCGCAGGCACACCAGGCGGCAGGCCTGCACCAGCTCGGCGGCCGGCAGCTCGGCCAGCACGCGCAGCAGCAGCGGCTCCGGCAGCTCGTCCAGGTACGCCGCCGCCTCCTCCTCCTCCCCGCCGCTCGCCTCCGCCTCCGGGGCAACCACGCACCCCTCCTCCTGCGGCTCCTCCGAGCTCGCCTCCTCGGGCTGGCCCATGCTCTCTGCGGGGATGAAGGGGTGAGGAGGTGATGACTCCCCCCAGACTGTCCCCTGGCACACCCCAGAACCCACATGTGGCAGGTATCCACCCCCCACCCCATCCCCGCCCTAGGACAATCTGCAACTGGGGCCAGAGATCCTGAGACCAGAAACTGGTGCCCAGTGGAGGAGCCCCCAAGGGACCAGGCTCACAGGCCAGCATCAAGTGCAAAGAGCCGCCTCAGATGCCTCAGTTTCCCCTGCAGAGCCAGTACACCCCACACCTGAGCAGATAACAGCAATGGATATGATTGACAGGATTGCCCCACGTTTTACTTTCACCTATGAACTTCTTTAATCTTCCCAACCACCTTCTGAGACCCCTGCTCCTGCCACCTCCTCGTGGAAGCCCTCTTGGATTTACCCCCTGTTATATCCTCTCCCCCGGGAGTTCCAGCCCTTCCCAGGTTTTGTCCTAGTGTGTGATGGTTTATAAAACACCTTTCATGGGGCTAGACAGAGGACAGGAGGGCAGGAACAAGGTCTGGGGAACTCACTGCTTTATCCCCAGTGCCTGGCGCCTGGCATGCTGCCGGGAGCTAATGTTTACTGGGAACTTAACAAGGATAGGCCCTTTTTGAGCATTTTAAGTTCATTTACTCTTTTTAAGTATATTTTTTATTGATTGTAGGGAGGAAGGGAGAGGGAGAGAGAGATAGAAACATTAATGATGAGAGAGAATCCTTGATCGGCTGCCTCCTGCACACCCCCTACATGCATGTGCTCTTGGCCGGAATCGAACCTGGGACTCTAGTCTGCAGGCCAATGATCTGTCCACTGAGCCAAACCTGCCAGAGCCATTTACTCTTTGTAGCCCCAAGCACCTCTGAGGTTTCTTCCTATTGTTGTCCCTGTTTCTCTGATGAGGGGACTCAGGCACAGAGAGGCGGGACAGCTGGGGAGCACACTGTGGTTGGAGTCTGGATTTGAACCCAGCGCCTGCCCCCAGAGCCACCTTTAACCATCACACATCAAAGAGATAATGCATGGGTTAGGAAGCACTATGGTGATTTTGATTCTGTAGGGGAAATTGCTCAGGCTCAGAGATGTGAAGGAACTTGCTAGAGGTCACCCTGCTGGGACTGGAGAGGGGGCATTGGGATCTGAGGCCCCAGGGGAAGGGAACAGAAATCTTCGACTTGGGAATGGGGGCAGGGAGCTCGTTAAAGGAGATCACGTGAGTGTGAGCAAGTGTGTGTGTTTGTGTGTGTGTGTGTCAAACAGGGAGATGTAATAAGTGTTTGGGAGAGGAAGGCTTTTCTCACTCTGGCCCTCAGTTTTCCCATCTATAAAATGGGGATGCCAGGTCACTCAGACAGTGTTGATGTTCAAGCCCGCTGAGGAGGGGCAAGGGCATTCTAGGTGGACAGGTATCAGGAGCTGCGGGCTGGACTCTCTCCTGGATGCCAGGCGCCCCAGCGAGGCCATTGAAGCCTTGAGTAAGCAGATACCAAGTGCCCAGTGTCTCTGGAGGAGGGAGAGACAGCGGGGAGGAAATGGGGCCACGCTGGGTGATAGGGGGGTGGGGGTCACAGCTTTCCGACTTAGGATGGGGCTTCCTAAGGACAACGCTGGAAGGCCAAGGTGGTACTCACAATACGCCATGCACTGGGGGAGAGAGCAGGCAGGGCCTGGGCCCGAGACTGGGTGTTGCCCAGCCTGCCAGCCCTCTGCCTCCTCACAGGCAGAATTCTCCCCCGCCCCACAGTCAGACCCTGGATAACTGAATCAGGGTTTACCTCTGCAGAGCTCAGAGCGCGCAGTGAGTCCTCAGCAGATCTTATTTAGTGAATCTTATTATTCCCTTCATCATTAGCTTTTTTTAAATATATATTTTATTGATTTTTTTTTCTTTACAGAGAGGAAGGGAGAGGGATAGAGAGCTAAAACATCGAAGAGAGAGAACCCCCCACCAGGGATGTGCCCACAACCAAGGTACATGCCCTTGACCGCAATCGAACCCAGGACCTTTCAGTCTGCAGGCCGACGTTCTATCCACTGAACCAAACCGGTTTCGGCAGGTTTTTTGTTTTTTGGTGTGTTTTTTTTGTTTTGTTTTGTTTTGCCACATCTTTATGATATGGGGCTTTACCGCCTTCCTTTTGGCAAAGAGGAAAACTGAGGCCCAGAGACACCTCCTGGGTTTGCCCAAGTCACACTGCGGAGGAGAGGCAGTCAGAGGAAAATGCCAGGCCCTGAAGCCGTATCACCTGCCCATCCTGCTGCCCACCGCTCCCTGGGGAGCAGGGCCCAGTGTCCTCACCTCTCCACCCCTGCCCTGGCCTGGTGGACACCTGATGCTCCCCGGAAAGGTGCACCTCGCCCAGTCCCCTCTCCTGGCCCCAGGCCTGGCACTTGAGGCCCCAGATCTGATTACGGCCCCCCATCCCCCGCTCGGGCACACACAACTCCCCACATTGTTGCTGTCGGAAAGCTATCTGGCCCCTGGAAACGGCCTCCAGGGCTGATTCATGCACCTGGATCGGGCCCTGGAGTCCAGGGAATATCTGGGCCCCGAGAAAACGCAGAGGCCCAATGGGCCCATAAAGGGTGTGGCGGGGGGGTGGGGGGGCAGAGGAGTGTGGGAGCTGGAGGCACTGGGATTTTCAGGGCTGGGAGGTGGGGGCTGGGCTACCTGGGCACCCATCCGTCTATTTCCCATGGCCTCCCCCGTGCAGTGCCCACTCTCAGGTGGGCCTGCTGAGGAAGGGGTGGGGGAGTCTGCTCATGCCCACCCTGACTCAGTTGGCAACCCCTCCAGACCCAGCCAGCTCAAAGCATTGTGGGGCGGGGGGGTCTCTGGTGCCAGAGAAGATGACTGGGCAGTCTGAGGGCCCTGAGCATTGGCAAGAGCTGGTGCTCCAACCTCGCTCACTGCTGGCCTGGTCCCCACTGGGCATCTGGCCACCCAATGAAGGATGGCCCCTCCAGACAAGGGAACCCGGGAGGAAGGCTGGGATGGGGTGGGGAGAGGCCGGTAACCCCAAGAAGCAGGTGGGGATTGGAATTCAGCCAGCTCACCGGCCAGGGCTGGCACATGGAAGAAGCTGATGGAAGGAGAGGGCTTGCAGCCTCCTCCATCCCAGCGGCGTCCCGGGCCCCAGCCCTACAGACCCCGGAAAGCTGGAGGTGGGCTATCTCCTGGATAAATAGGGCCAGGAGTCCTCCCTCCCTGCCTGTCACCTCCTGAGGCCTCCGGACAAACCAAGGTACCAGACAGAGGACTGCACACCTGAGACCGTCTCAAGGACTTGGCTTCGGTAAAAGTTTGCGGCGCTGGGTCCTGGCTGACCACCTCCCCACCACTACCCCGCATCTCTCTGGCGCTCGCCAGCCTGCCCGGTCTCCCCTCCCGGACTGAGCGAGTGGCCCGGGCTACCTGGGTCCCCGTCTCCGTCCATCGCTGCGGAGGGCGATCCTGAGAGAAGCAGAAGCCGGAGCGCTGCGGGCGGCCCGAGTCCCGGTCCCGCGGCGGTGGCAATGCGAGGCGCTGCCCGGTCTGGGTCGGCCCGGCCCGCCGCGCCTCTTAAAGGCTCCCGCCCCGTCCCGCCCCGCCTTTGGCCCCGCGCCCGGGCGCCCCGCAATCCGGAGCGGTCGGCGGCGGCCTGAGGCTGCAGGCTCCTCCGCGGACCCAGGAGGCCGAGGAAGGTCAGGAGTCAGTTTTGTGGGAGTGTGTGTGTGTGTGTGATGGGGGAAAGGGGGTCCGATCTGAGGCTGCTCCCCGCTCCCCCGGGGTGGGGTGGGGAGGGGGACTGCTGCGGGAAGGAGGAGGCAGAGGGCAGGGAGTCTGGGTCATGCGGAGGGTGCGGGGCGGGCAGCCCAGGCACAGGGGGAGGGGGGCAGAGGCTCCTCCCAGCACCCCCAACCGGAGTAATTTTCCTATTTCCCGATGGGGGGCGCATCCCGGGCCACACACCACGGCGCACGACTCGGCTCAGCGTGGAGAGGGGGGCGGGCGGCGAAGGCCGGGCGGGGGCCAGCCGGGTGGGGGCGTGGCCAGCTGGCGGGGCGGGGCCAGGCGGGTGGGGGCGGGGCCTCATCCCCGGGAACGCCAGCAGCGGTCGCCTGACCTCCGAGCGGGACAGCGCGGCGTCGGCCGATGCAGGTGACCCGCGGGCGGGGGCGCGGGGGCGCAGGCGGCCGGGGCCTGGCGGGGGCTCGGCGGCTCCCGGCCCCGCAGCTGTGCGCCCAGGAGGCCGGCGCGGACGAGCCCCAGGCCGCCCGCGGGAACTGCGTGGCGCGGCCTCCTGCGGCGATGCCAGCGGAAACGGGAGCTGGGATCTCGCTCGAAGCGTAGGGGTCCGAGCCACGACTTTGGGGGGGAGGGGGGTGCGTTTTATAGTCACCACGAGGAATGGAAGGGTGAAGGCTCCTAGGGGGCCTGGAGCTGGAGCCCAGCCACGGGCGTGGGATGGGAGCGGGGGTGCAGGAGGGGCCTTCGCATTGCCCACCCTTCTCCAGGCCCAACTTGGGCAAGTCATTTCCTCTTCGGCCTTGAGAAAGTTGGACCTCGGTCGGGTTAGCCCCCCACATCGCCCTCTCCCTCCGAGGGCAGGAGAGGGGATGGAGAAGGCACCGCGCAGGTGGAGGGCTCTGCGGGGCTGCGCGCCGTTATCCCCGCTCCAAGAACTAGCCTATGGGAAAGGGGCGGCTGTAGAGTCAGAGGAGGCTCGCCCTCCTTCCCTCTGCTCTCATCTCCGGACAGATCCAGCCGCCTCTCCGCAGGCCTCCCTAGCCTAGAGGCTGTTGTGAGGTGCCAGTTAAAAGCAAAATAAATCAACTCACCTTGTACTGCTTTCTGCTGTGTCCCGGGCTTCTTGAACCTGCCAGGGGGTGGCAGTGCTGTTCCTGGCCCTTTGCTCCAGAGGAGGACACTGAGGCCCAGAGACTGTAGACCTGGGCTTGGGGGCCTCCACCGCCACGGGTGCTGCAAACACCAAGCCCAGGCCCAGGTGAAAAAGCCTGGCTTTTCAATAACCACAGGCGTGCCCGGGAGCCAGGAGCCATGGCAGTGGAGAACATCAACGAGCTGCCGGAAAGCATCCTGCTGGAGCTGTTCACACACGTGCCCGCCCGCCAGCTGCTGCTGCGCTGCCGCTTGGTCTGCAGCCTCTGGCGGGACCTCATCGACCTCGTGACCCTCTGGAAGCGCAAATGCCTGCGCGAGGGCTTCATCACCGAGGACTGGGACCAGCCTGTGGCCGACTGGAAGATCTTCTACTTCCTACGGAGCCTCCACAGGAACCTCCTGCACAACCCGTGTGCCGAAGGTGGGGTGCAGAGTGGGTCTGGCGTGCCCCCAACACACACACACACACACACACACACACACACACTGTCAGCTAACATTTACTAAACACTTATTGTAAGCTAGGTACTTTGAATGGCCTGCCAACTGTAACCCTCTCACAGTGATCCTAAAAGGTACTGGTAGTGTACCCATTTTTCAGTTGAGCAAACTGAAGCCAAGAGTGGCATTTCTTCCGTCCTTACGTTGATATCCCCAGTGACCTTTCCTAGGAGAAGGAATGTTGATTAGTTAGGGCTAAGTATGCTCCAGGCACATGACCAGGAAGTCAGCATGCTTTTGTTGGCCTAGTTCCCAGACTCCAGAGGTCAAAGGGGACTTTGCTTGTGGAAGAATGAGAAGTCCAGTCTTCTTTCCAGCACACTTCAGCCACTTCTGCAGTCATCCAGCGCTTCCTTGTCCCCTCGCTACGTTAACTCATCAGCTAGACACTGGGATAGGATCGGGTGGGAACCTCATTCTCCATCACGTGGCCAAATTCTTGGGCAAAATGATAAAACAGCTCCAGACTCCAGGACTTTCAGGTGCCTGTCTCACGTGACTCCCCTGCAGCTGTGTTCTTCACCAGCAGTTGACACACTGTGGCCCATGAGCCAAATCTGGCCCAGAAGCTAAGAATACCTTTTACCATTTTAAAGGTTACTTTAAAAAAGAAAAGAAAAAAAACATACTATGTGATAAGACAATATATAGCCCATAAAACCTAAAATATTTTGACCCTTTACAGAAAGTTTGCCAGTCCCATTCTTTGACCCCAGAGGACAAAACCAAGGCTCAGAGAGGGAAAGCAACTTGCCTAATGTCACACAGCCAGGATTGGTAGAGGCAGGGCTAGCCCCAGATCTGGCCAGCCGCAGAGCGTGCTGCATCACAGAAGGAGTCTGGTCCTTCACATCATCATGTGTCTCAGGATTCCCAGTGGAAGTCATTTAGCCTCACACACAGGACCGGAAGCACCCGATTCCAGGCAGACGCCATTGGTCTGCAGTTCCACAGCGCAGGCTGGAGGGCAACTGCTGAGGTGCAGGGAGAAAGAAGGGAGGGCCCCTGGGAGAAGGGGACCACGGGGGGCTTCTCTTTGAGGTGAACTTGCTTTCCTGCCAGAGGGGTTTGAGTTCTGGAGCCTGGATGTGAACGGAGGCGATGAGTGGAAGGTGGAAGCCCTCTCCAGAGACCAGAGGAAGGAATTCCCCAATGACCAGGTCAAGAAATACTTCGTGACTTCTTATTAGTAAGATCCAAGGTCAGGGGGTCTTGGGGTGAGGGGGAAGCCAAAGTCACTGCCCCCGGGGTCTTCTCTCTGGGAAAGCAGCCTCGCCTCCCAGTGCCCCAGTGCTGAGCCTCAGCCCAGCCCACCCTCCGCCTGCCCCCAGCACCTGCCTCAAGTCCCAGGTGGTGGACCTCAAGGCCGAAGGGTATTGGGAGGAGCTGATGGACACTACACGGCCGGACATCAAGGTCAAGGACTGGTGAGTGCCTGGGGGTGGGCCCTGCCACTCAGGTGCCCTACCCCCACCCTGCCCCCATCTCCAAGGCCCCCTGACGGGCCTTCCCTCTGCCTGCAGGTTCGCAGCTAGGCCAGACTGCGGGTCCAAGTACCAGCTGAGCGTTCAGCTCCTGTCATCAGCGCATGCGCCTCTGGGGACCTTCCAGCCAGACCCAGCAACCATCCAGCAGAAGAGTGATGCCAAGTGGAGAGAGGTGTGTGGGGCGGGAAGGGGGCAGTGGGCACGTCACCCAAGCCTGAGACTACATACAGCCAGACAGGCCTGGGTTCAAGTCCCAGCTCTGCTGCTTCTCACCTGGGCTTCGGCTGCTCTGACTTCAGCAAAGTGATGCTGATCAAGCCACACTCAAAATGGTTCACTGTTATTAATTTCTAATATTGGTTGTGACTATTATCTAGGCCAGCAGCCAGCAAACGTTTTCTTAAAAGGCTAGATAGAAACCTTTCAGGCTTTGCAAGCGGTGCTGTCTCTGTCACAACTACTAAGGTCTTCAACTCTGCCGCTGTGTTGTGAAAGCAGCTTAAGCAAGTGAACATGGGTGTGTCCCAATAAAACTTTATTTACAAAAACAGGCATGCGGCCCCCCAGGCTGTAGTTTGCCAAATCCTGACCTAGACCAGTGTTCTCCAATAGAACTCTCTGCAGTGGCAGAAATGGTTTGCCTGCACTGTCTGTATAGTAGCCAAAACCATGTGGGACTATTGAATACTTAATGAGAGCCAGTTCCTAGCGTGACCGAGGAACTGAATTTTTTATTTCATCTCGTTTTACTTAAATAGCTAAATGTGCCCAGTGATGACAGGTACTGGACATCCTTATGAAATTTCCTCCAGTCGCTCTGAGCCACACATAGATGATCCTGTGGGGTGGCCCCTCCAGGAGCCGACTCCATTTTACAGATGAGGAAACTGAGGCATGGAGGAGGGGAGGTGGTCTGCCCAGCATCACAGAATTGGAGCTGGAATTCAGCTGGAATCCTGGTCCAGCACTGAGAGAGCAGCCCCTTCCTTGGCCCCCTGCCCCTCAGGCGGCGCCACCCTCAGGGTCAGCTCCCCTGACCTCCCTCCCTCCCTCCGCCTGCCCCCTTCCCAGGTCTCACACACGTTCTCCAACTACCCACCTGGCGTCCGCTACATCTGGTTTCAGCACGGTGGCGTGGACACTCACTACTGGGCCGGCTGGTACGGCCCGAGGGTCACCAACAGCAGCATCACCATTGGGCCCCCCCGCTGCCCTGACGCCCCCGAGGCCCCGTCCGCAGAGCCCTGACCGGTAAACTGTTGTCAGAGAAAGGCTGGGCGTGGGAAGGGGCGGTGGGCCAGGCTTCCCCAGATCTCCTACTTCAGCCATGCCCCCTTGCCCCCTCTCTGTGGAGCCCCCCCTGCTGCAGACAGCCAGTGCTCTGCCTGGGGTGCAATCTGAATGACGATGAGGGCTGTGTATACCTTTAAGAGGCAGGGCCCTTCAGGGAGGTACAGGATCTTCCCCCAGGTTCCTCCCTAGACTCCTCTGAGGCTGGGTGTCCAAGCTCAGACGGCAACCTAGATCTGTGTTTCTACCTTCCCCTCCTGGGCCTGCCCCCCTATCTTGTTGGGGGGCCCTCGGAGGAGGGACAGTGGGGAGGACATCTGGCAAGCTTGGGGCTGCCCTGGATGGTCCAGATGCTGGGAGTCCACTGTGTAGCTCAGACAGATCTGGGAGAGGAGGGAGGGCTCTGCCGGCCTGTCCTCTGCCCCATTCTCTGCCGCTCCCACGCTCTCGCCAGGCCTGCCTGCTCAGAGGGGTGGCTATGGCCCAGAGGCGCAGGCCTGGTCCGAGATAGGCAGGCCCAGGGTGGGGTGAGGTGGAGTCAACGCCACATCTGGATTGTCCTCACAGTCAATGAAGCCCCAAAAGCCAGAATGGGCGGGGCTCTCCATGAGAACTCTGGAATCCGGTGTGGGGCAACCCAGGGCAGGTGGGTACAGGATTGGGCTCTGATTCTGAGAGCTAGGATGTGTGAGCATAGGATGAGTGTGGGGAAGGGGGTCTTCAAGGGCCGCCCGCCACCTCCATGCCTGCACCAGGCTCCCTGTGGCTTGGAGAGCAATCCAAGCCCCCACCCACCACTGGAACGGCCCTTCCCACCTGCCCTCTGCCTCTGCCTCTGCCTCCTCCAGCAATGCTCTTGATCCTACCCCTGCTGCACACAGCCAAATAAAAGGGTTTCCAGCCCAGCTTGTGCCCTGTGGTTTCTGGAGGGGGTGAAGGGCAAACTTCAGGGGAGGCCCAGACATGCAGAAGGTGCCACATGTGTGGCTTCTGCCCAAGATACAGAGGCGTTGGCATGTCAGGAGCCAGCCAATCGCAGAACCAGGGCCACAGGACAGAGCTCTTGGTGAGCTGCAGATGCCTGCCCCCAGCCGCCTTCAGCATCGCTAGCTTCCTCTGTGGCCTGGCCACAAGCCTGCGGGAGGGGCATGTGTGCACCTCCTGGTGGGTTCTGCATACACCTCCTGCTTTGTCAGCCTTGACATACCAGGCACTGCTGCTGGTTCTTCCTGTATCTAACAAGAGCTTTATTGACGTTAGATGAAGATAAGGCATTTAGAATAGTGCCTGGCACAGTAGGCGCTCAATAAATACTGTTCCACTTAAGGCTCTCCCTCATCAACAAGCTAGATTAGGGCCTCTGTCAGGGCAGGGACACCCCCCCTCGCTGGCTGTGCGGCAAGTTAGCGGAGAGGACGCTTCCTTGGAGAAGATGCAGGCCTGAGGGGTTCGCGTGATCTGGCCAGGCACCCCTTTGGTGGTTCCCTGCAGCGCCAGGTGCTCCATCATTCTCTACAACGCAGAAAGCATTAATGGATTTAATCCTGGCAAAAATGCGGAGAAATGTGTACCTTTGAGGACATTGAGGCCTGCCCTTGGTTAAGCCCTAGAGAAGGTAGGACTGACTTTGAGCGTGGCTGGTGCGGCTCAGTAGTTGAGCAGCAACCTATGAACCAAGTCACAGATCAATCCCCGGCAGGGCGCACCGGATCCCTGCAGGGGGCGTGCAGGAGGCAGCCCATTGGTGATTGTCTTTTATCGATATTCTCTCCCTCTCCCTTCTCTGAAATCACACATTAAAAAAAATTATTTAAAAATAATAAAAGACTGACTTTCACTTTCAGCGATCGCTTTCCAGGGGAGGGCCCACCGGGCCCACCTCCCTTCTGTGGCGAACGGGCTGAGCGGTCGGCGGGGCGGGGCGGGCTCCCGGAGGAAGCCAAGTCCGACATGGGTCCCGGCCGCTGACCGCACGCCGCCTGGAGGGAAAGGCTGCGGGTCGGGACACCAGGGCCCGGGTCCGAGGACTCTCGACTCCTTGGGCTAAAGCGGGCGGCGTGAGGTGGGCGCCGCCAGGCCCAGGGCAGCGCCGCCAGTCCCCGGGGGCGGGGCGGCCTCGTGACGTCATCGCGGGGCGGGGCGAGAGGACGGAACCCGGAGGCTCGGGCTCGGGTCCTGCGCAGCTCGGTCCGCCGGCCGTGCCCGGCGCCAGGCAGGACAGGCCGGGGGCGACGGGCGCGAGAGGGTGAGTGTCCACGCCGGGAGGGAGGGAGGGAGGGAGGGAGGGAGGGCGGCCCCGGGGCGCTTCCCGCGGGTGGTCTCGGGCGGGGCGGACCCGGACTCCGGAGGCCGCGGGGTGGGGTTCGGCGGGGCGTGGGTCCTGCGGGGACCCGCCCTCACACTCCGGCCCGGGCCCCCTCGCGGGCGGCACCCGGCTGCGGCGGGGCTGGGACTGCCGGCGCCCCACGCTCGCGGCCGTGGGAGCGGCGCTGGGGGAGTCGTTGGAGGGTCCACGGAGCGAAGGCAGCGCGTGACCGGGGGCCAGGCACGTGGGCCGCCCCTGAGGGCGCGGTGGCTGCTTGGGGTCTGGAGGTTCCACCGGACCCGCTTCACTTCCGCTCCCCACCGCGCAGCCAGGCCCACGAAGGACAGAAACGGAGGGTGGGGCGAGTGGCAACAGGGGCAGAGCCAGAGACCAGGCTTCGGATGTCGGTACCTAACTCAGAGCCAGCGGCCTTTGCCTGGACAGTGCTTTTAGAAGCCGCCAACCTTTAAAAACTCACAAGTTTCATATTTTAAAAAAAAAATGTTTACAAGTTCCTCCTGAAAAATCAGATCAGGCCACATCAGAGTTTTTATCCATCAATATTTTGCACACCGTACAAGTGCCTTATACATATATTGTTTGTTCTCTGCCATGCTAAAATGCTCCTCTCTGCGCCCCTCATTTTGGGGGGAACAGGAGCCTAAAGAAGAATCTAAACTGCTTCTTTGTCCCAGTCTATGGAAAAGGATGTCTTCCCAGCGCCTCTAGGTGTGGGTGAAGGGGGGGGGGGGGGGGATAAGATTAGCAGATCTGTTATCAGAACCCCCCAGGCAAGTGACTTTGTAAATTGTGCGCTTTGGCTGGGGGATGGGGAATGTGCCTTCGGTTTTGGTTTCGGTTTCGTTTTGTTTTGCTCTAATAGTAGAAGTGTTAGTAACGGTATCCGTACTCTTTACTGGGCCATCTGAAGTTGGAGAGTTATCACATTTACACAACTTCTGGGTGAGTCACTGCAGGCAAGGGTTCAAGCGCGCAAACTGCTTTTTTGTTTCTGGGCATTTTGGTCTGGGCTCTCCCTCGGCTAGGTAGCTCAGATGGTTAGAGCATCATCCAATAATCAACCAATGAATGCATATAACTGGAATAACAATCCAATGTTTCTCTCCACCACCCTCCCCCCCCCCTCCTCTCCCTCTAAAATCAATCATTAAAAAAAAAATGTGATCGGGCTGGTGTGACTCAGTGGTTGGGCTTTGAACCAGGTGGTCACCACAGTATTTCGCTAGGGTACAGCCTCTGTGTGGGGTGTGCAGGAGGCAGTTGGTCATTGATTCTCCCTCATCGTTGATCTCTCCCTTCCTCTCTGAAATCAATTTTTAAAAAAATATATTTTATTGATTTTTATACAGAGAGGAAGGGAGAGAGATAGTTAGAAACATCGATGAGAGACAGTCATTGATCAGCTGCCTCTTGCACACCCCCTACTGGGGATATGCCCACAACCAAGGTCCATGCCCTTGACTGGAATCGAACCCGGGACCCTTCAGTCCTCAAGCCAACACTCTATCCATTGAGCCAAACCGGTCCTGGCTGAAATTTTTAAAAATGTATTTTTAAGAAGTGGGCTCTGGCTGGACACCTCCCCTCAGGACTGGGAGGGGAGGGCAGCTCCTCAGCTGGGGGTTCTGTCACATCGGGCTTCTGGCCACGAGGAGCAGCGTGGAGAGAAGGTGACTCCTCGGGACGAGCCCCACCACTTACTGCAGCTGCGGCAGTCTGGGATGTAATAGATTTTATAACAGTGAACTCATACACTAGAATATCTCCACCAACCCTTGCAGAGCTCACCCACAACAGGTGGCCTTGGCAGAATCCTACTGGTCACCAGGACTGCCAACTTAAAACGAAGCGATTATTATTTTTTTAAAAATATATATTTTATTGATTTTTCTTACAGAGAGGAAGAGAGAGGGATAGAGAGCTAGAAACATCAACCAGCTGCCTCCTGCACACCCCCTATTGGGGATGTGCCCGCAACTGATGTACATGCCTTTAACCGGAATCGAACCTTGGAACCCCCAGTCCGCAGACCGACGCTCTACCGGTTTCGGCACGAAGTGATTATTTTAATGGGGGGACAGGCCCCCTAAAAAATTAGTCCATGTTCTAGAGCCTGCTGTGTCCAGGAAGGATGCTCACATGCTTCTTGTCTTCACCTCTCTTGTTTTACAACAGAAGCAGGAGTAGGAAGCCCAGGCCCAGCATCTGAAGATCTGAGGAATCCACCTCCTTGGTCAGGGCTCATAACCCCCATTGTTGCCCCCCAGCGCACACACACACACACAGACAAAAACACACGCACAGTGTGTGTGCACCCCAGCCCAGCTATGACCCTGGTCAGCATCAATGAACTGCCTGAGAACATCCTGCTGGAGATATTCACAAACGTGCCTGCCCGTCAGCTGGTGTTGGACTGCCGCCTTGTCTGCAGCCTCTGGCGCGACCTCATCGACCTCATGACCCTCTGGAAACGCAAGAGCCTGCGGGAGGGCTTCACCACCGAGGACTGCGACGAGCCCGTGTCAGACTGGAAGGTTTTTTACTTTTTGTGCAGCCTCCGCAGGAACCTCCTACGCAACCCCTGCGGTGAAGGTGGGCCGCTTCCTTTCCTCCCTTTCTGGAGCCTCAGGGCCTTTGCACTTGCTGGGCCTGTACCACCTGGAATGATCTCTCAAAACTGAGCAGCCAGCATGCTCCCTTGGCTGCTCATTCTTGGGGCCTCAGTCCAGAGACCTGCCTGACCCATCCAGAAACAGTGCTCCCTACCTCAGTCCTATCACCCCCGTTTCATTCCTTCGTAGCACTTTTCATACCTTAGAATTACCTTTTTTTAAAAAAATATATTTTATTGATTTTTTACAGAGAGGAAGGGAGAGAGAGAGAGCCAGAAACGTCGATGAGAGAGAAACATCGACCAGCCGCCTCCTGGACACCCCCCACCGGGGATATGCCCGCAACCAACGTACATGCCCCTGACCGGAATCGAACCCGGGACCCTTCAGTCCACAGACCGACGCTCTACCACTGAGCCAAACCGGTTTCGGCAGAATTACCTTTTTATCTCTTTATTTTCCTTCCAGTGCCAGGGGCTTAGTGCAGTGGTCGGCAAACTGAGGATCGTGAGCCACATGTGGCTCCCTGGCCCCTTGAGTTTTTAGCAAAGGCCAGCTTAGGAGTACCCTAATTAAGTTAATGACAATGTACCTGCCTATATATGATAGTTTAAGTTTTAAAAAATTTGGCTCTCAAAAGAAATTTCAATCATTGCACTGTTGATACTTGGCTCTGTTGACTAACGAGTTTGCCGACCCCTGGCCTAGTGGATCTTGCTTGCCACAGTACACCGTGTCCACAATTACACCTTCACAAGCAGGTGCTCAGGAAAACGTCTGTTGAAGACCCAACCAACTGCAGGTCCGTCCACCTTTCCCCCTTTAGCTCAGTCCAAGCTAGCCTGAGCGCTTCACAGATGTAAACCCCTCCCATCACCCTAACTGGACCGATGAAAGGGTTCTGAGAGGTGACTGCAATCACATCACTTCAGTTCCCTGTTAAGCTCGCCTTCTCTTGTATTTTCCCGTGTTTTTTTCTTCCTTTGTTCACTACCTACTACGTACCAGGCACCTTGCTCCTTATTGGGGCCACGGCAGCAAGTGAGGAAGAGGCATTGTTTGTAGACTTCGAATCCCTCTCCTGTGTTTTCTCTATCCTCACGGGAGTTCCATTTTATAGATGAGAATGTTAGGCCCCACGCAAGATGCGTGTCTTGCCCAAGATCCAGAAATGCTCAGCTGCTGGAGGCCCTCAGGCCCCTCTCAGAAGCTACCCACCAGCTCAGCTCACAACCCTGCAGAGCCAGCCTGCGGCCTTGCCTGCACTGGGCCCTGTATTACCCGTCTGGGTCTCTACTGGGGGCGCCTGGGCACACAGGGAATAGATGTGGGTTCCTTATAGAGGGAGCAGGGGAGTCATTTGGAAAAGCTCTCCTGGTGATTGTTCTGGAAAACCTTGGTGAGCAACATGCCAATTTCCTCAGTTCCTCTCAGTTTTCTCTGAAGAGGGAGACCAGGGCATGTTGAGCCAACCTGGTGGGGATGCTTCCATGAATATGAGGTTACTACATGCCACCAACTCAGAGGGCGTCCATTCTCCCAATTATCCCTCCCACCCAACGCAGAGGTTCCTATGACCCAGCAACAACCCGCACACGGCCCTCACACCCCTTCAGATCTCAGGTACATAGTGAGGATGTCGGGGGGAATGTCAGTTGTCAACTGAGCGGTCCCCATTGGGACAAATGCACATTAGCCATTAAAACCGGAAGTACCATCACAGGCCCTTCATAAAGTGCTGAGAACTGAAACTTGGGTATTTCCCAGAGGGTGTCACGACTTGGAAGTGAGAAAAGGTAGTTTTTCCCCAGCTTCATGTAGGAGTAAAGCTGGTCAGGGACAAAGGGGGGGAGGGGTGGGAACGGGTTGGAGTTTTAACTTCGTAAGGGTGTTCCAGGGCACAATTGGGTACACACCTGGAGATGAGCATGAGCAAGCCCTGCATTTCGCCCTCATACCAAATGGGGAGGACCAGGCTACACATTTACTAGGCTTCTGTTTTTCCTAGAGGGTATGAGTTCCTGGCAAATCGACCATAATGGGGGGGATCAATGGACCGTGGAAAACTTACCTGGAGGCCATGGGGAAGATTTTCCTGACTCCAATGTCAAGAAGTTCTTCGTCACATCCTATCAGTAAGAAAGACTGAACTGGGCAGGCTGAGTTGGAGGAAGAGGGTCGGGACACCCTTCGCCAAACCCAGGCCTACCTACGCCAGGGCCTCTGAGAAGCTCAGGGAGGTGTTGACAAAAGCAGCTCAGAGTCTACTGCTCCTGGGGCAGAAGTACTCAGTGGGGGTGGGGGTCGGTTTAGGGGCGGTGCGCCCCTGGGGACGTGGGCTGCCAGGAGTGTCCACAGGCTGTCCATAGCCTAGGGACGTGAGTGCCTGGGGCCCCAGGCGGATGGACTGGGATCAGGTGCTGCCCAGGCCCCAGGGAGTCAAACTCCCTGCGCCTCTCTCATGGGCCCACACCGAGGTGGAGTCAGAGTCAGCACCAGCCAGTAGCTGGTGACACTGCCATGCAGAGCACACCTAGGAATGCAAGCTTTTCCTCTGCTCCCTAGATTATGCATCAAGTCCCAGATGGTGGACCTCAAAGCTGAGGGCTACTGGGAGGAACTAATGGACAGAGTCCGGCCTGACATCGTGGTGAAGGACTGGTGAGTGAGGCCCTGAGGACACCTGGAGGGAGTGCCCACTCTGTGCCCAGCAGTGTCCTAAGGCAAGGGTAGTCCCTGAAGCAGGCCAACCCGGCTGGCTCGTCTCATGTAGACAGACCAGTACTTGCTCATCCAGCAGCGCCTCCTGGCCTCCCCACCATCGCATCAGCAGGGGACAAACCTTAACCCCGTGTACAGGTGGGGAGACTGAGGCCTGCAGGTGTTGTCTCAGACATGCCCTAAGCATGACACCCAAGACCCAGCCTTCTCATCTGCCTCCCCTGCCTCTCCCGCCATTTATCCCACAGCTCTTTCTCAAGCTCCTCTGTGCACAGGGCTGTGCCAGCGCTCTGCCTTGGGCACGGCAGAAGCAGGGCCCCAGGGCCACCACTCTGAGAAGGGAGGGGTGGGATTTGAGGGGTGTGCAGAACTGCGGGGGGTGGGGGAGACAGCAGGACTGAGCTCTGTGCCAGCCCAGACCACACGAGCCACCCCTTGAATCTCCCATTGAACCCACAGCCTCGCCTTTATCTCTGTAGAGCTTTTTGCCTGTTAAGATGTAATCTCTGAAATACCCAAAAGGGTGGCCCTTTACTCCGATGGAGTAATGGAGGCACAGATAGAGACTGCTCAATGTGGGGGTACAGGGCGCACTGAAGGTGGACCTCATGGGCCTCAAAGGGAAATGAAACTAATTTGTAGGCCTGTTGCCTGCCCACCGCCAGGGCCACCCTTTCTTGGGGTGCTGTCCTGAACCCCAGCCTCCCTTAGGTTCGCTGCCAGACGAGACTGTGGCTGCACCTACAACATCCAAGTGCAGCTGCTCTCGGCCAATCACGTCGTCTTGGCCTCCTTCCAGCCCCCACGTGTGACCATCCCACAGTGGAGCGATGCCCAGTGGACAGAGGTGAGGTCTCAGCTGCTGGCCTGCCATCCACTTCCCCCAGGGCCTGGAATGCCCCAGCTCTCCCACCTGGGTCTCCCCCTTCTCCTCTCCCCCAGTTGAGTGGTCACCACATCTCATCTCCTACCCAGTCCTGGTGGTCACTCCCTCTCCCTTCCTTCCAGGTCTCTCACACCTTCTCAGATTACCCTCCAGGCGTCCGCTACATCTTCTTCCAGCATGGGGGCCAAGACACCCAGTTCTGGGCAGGCTGGTATGGGTCCCGTGTCACCAACAGCAGCATCATCATCAGCCCTCAGATGACCAGGAACCCAGCGGCCTCCACAACTCGGCCCAACACCACACAGGAGCCAGGACGGAAATGGAGACGGGAATGGGGATGGGGATGGGGATGGGAAGATGAAAGGGATGACGAAAGGGATGAGGAAGACTCTGATCAATTGCCCTCCCCACCTCATTTCTATAGACCCTTCTGACAGTCTGGATCTGCTGGCCTTTCATCTGCCCTCTGTCCCCGCCAGCCAAGTGCCAAAGGTCTCCTCAGGCAAGAAGAGCCTGTGGTGGGCAGGGAGGCCCTTGCGCCGGGACCTCCTGCCACAGCTGTAACCTTGGGCAAACCCACTGTTGTGTAGCTATCACTTACAATAATAAACTTTCACAGCAAAACCAACCTGGGGTTGGGTCTGGGGGTGGGGGTAGGAGTGTCGGGGGGAATTGGGGTCCGGGCACTTTGTTAGAGAAGCAGCCCTTCCCCGGGGTTAACTTGGCTGCACGCCCCCTCCTCCTACAATCAGTGAGAGCCCAGGCCAGCCCTTGGGGCCCTTTATTGAAACAACTCACAGCACAGCATTTGAGACAGACAGTGTTGACCGGCTGAACCCCGGGAGGCTGAGAAACAGAGCCCAGCACCCCTCCTGCCTCCTGGGGGGCCATTCCTCCACGAAGGCAATCAGACCTGAGCAGCTCCGGCTGGAGGGTGGGCAGTCCGCACAGAGGCAATAAGAGCACTTGGAAGCGGGGCGGCCTGCAGCGCTGCGCGAGGCTGGGGGCCCCCCAAGTCCGATAGCTGTGGCATTCATGGGGGCAGACAGCCCCTCAGCTGTTTTTATGAGCTCGTTCTTCCACATAGAGCTGCATCTAACGGGCAGGAACACAGCGTGTCAGGTGGCAGTCAGGGCGTCTATGTGCAAGCCCCTGGCAGGCAGATCTCTCTCTCAGTGTCAGGCCGTATGGCCACAGTGGGATGGGAGGAGCCTCATGGCAGATATGTCCACAAGGCCTCAAACACATCCTAAGTAAGACAAACCTGGCCCCCATGCAGCTCACCTTTAAAATGTCTGATGTCATGGTTTTGAGAGGAATCAGCCGGGGGTCATGCATGTGGACATCCTGCTCGTCCGCCAGGATCCAGGGGAAGTCCTAGGGAAGAATCCAGGTGACGGGGTGGAAGGGGCTGGGCCCTGCCTGCCCCCGCTTTGCCTCCCTCTACTTCCAGGGCTGGGGTCCTCAGACTTGGGGGAGCATCGAATCACTAGGGAAGTGCAGAATCCCGGCTCCTCCACTAGACAGGCCCAGGCTGGGTCAGCTGGGCTGGGAACCTAAGTGATTTCCTAAGCCCCCAGCACCATCTGACACTGGTCGGAAAGGAGAGCTGCACTGAGTTGGGGCCCCAGCACACAGCCCCTCCTCCCAGTGCTGCGTGCCCAGGTGTAGCAATGGCAGGTATGTGGCCGCACCGTTAGCACGCAACAAGAACCTCCTGGGTGCCAGGCACTGTCATAAGCAATGGCATGGGTGCAGTGCCCACGGGCAGCACCCCTGCCCACTCAGCACTGTGGCATCTGCTTACCAGAGCCTCCCGCTATCTCACAGCCCCACCCCCGCCTTGACCAGTCTCATCTCACCTTGATGACCTGGATCTTCTCCATGTTGCGAGTGGCAGCTTCCCTTGTGTGCACCAAAACGGTGAAGGTACAGCCTGCGGAGGCAAGCGTGTGATCAAGGCTGGGCCACCCCGTGCCTGCCACGGCGCAGTCTTTCCCTCCTCCCCAGTTGGCTCAGCAGCCCGAGATCAAAGTGTAAATAGCCCAAGTGTTAAGACACAAGGAAACAGAGACTGAAGACAGAGTGGAGTTAACCAGGGAAGTTCCTGGAGGATGCAGACTTAAAGGAGTTCTAAAAAGCAAAAGAGACAAGGCTCAGAGGAACGTGAGAACACTAGGGACCAGCCCAAGGTAGCCATGGAGACGCCCAGGGAAGAGGCAGCAGGAGGTGAGCTCACCTGGGGGGTTGTGGTCCAGGACAGCATCACACACGCTGATCTTCAGGATGAAAGCTCGGAGCAGCTGCTCCACATGAGACAGCAGGGAGTCTGAGCTGGGAAGGAGGGAAGAGGCAGGTCTTCTCTCACCCTGGTGCCCCCCTCCACAGCAGATGAGGGGTCCCAAGCCCCTCTAGTCCTGAGGGCTGGCTTCTAAGGGCGGGCATACCTGTCACCAGGTGAGTATACAACCAGTGCAGAGCCCCATCCCAGACTGACTAAGCCAGGATGGGGGAGAAGGGTAGAGGGAGCCCCTGTAGGTGGTTCTAATATGCTAATGTCCCCTTTCCCATCTGAGGACCAGGACCCCGGCGGTGAGGGGAGAGGGCTTGCCCAAGGCCATTCGGGGACAGATTCTATTGTCCTGACCTCACCACAGGAAGCCGGCAGCTGACCAGCCGACATTCCTGCCCAAGGCCAACTTCTAACGGACTATGGATTACCCGGACTATGGATTACATGGCTTGCCTGGGAAGGTAGGACCCCGGATTGTGTCCTGGCTCTGCCACCATTTGGGTAGTTCATATCACATCTCTGGACCTGAGTTTCTGCATCTATAAAAGAGGAGGTTGGGCCTAGCCATTCCCCAGGGTCGTGGTTTTCCACGTGTGACACGGGAGGATCTCCATGTAACCTGTGTGGTGTCCAGAGAGACCACGGGGTGGCCTGCCTGTTAGGTTGGCATGCCTTGCGTTTCCCCAAGGTATACTGGGAGCTGCTCAAAGGCGTGAAGGGGGGATATTCCTAAGGACCTCACACCATCTAGCAGGTGGAAGGCGTACAGGCAGCTCACCTGATGGACAGCAGTGGAGGCTGGGTAATTTCAAAGACGAATTTCTCCACTGGGCGATGCTCTTTGTCCAAAATTACCACCACCACTTTCTCCACATCATTCTGCAAGGACAGAAATCTCTAGAACTGGGTCTCCCCCCCTCCAACTCCCTGCCCAAGGAAGGGTGGGAAAGGGCTCACTCACAGCCCTGCTCAGCCTCTAGGCCCAGGGTCCCCAAGACACTGGAGAGAGGTCCTGACGTGAGTGGTACAGGCCGAGGCCCCATAGGGGTCGCCAATGGAGGTCACAGAAGACACAATAGGAGGAGGAAGCCCAGATAGAACTTGGGGGTAGGGAGAGAGAAACACATGTGAGAACCCAGAACCCTCCAGGCAGGCCCACTCAGGACCATCTGGGGCCCAGCACACCTTTCACGTGGCTCATGGGTCCTGGGGCCTGTCCTTGGGCTCAGGGGGTCACCAGGGTGCAGGAAACAGGCCTCTGGGTGTGACAGTCCTGGGTCCCCTACAAGGTCCAGCATCCCCCCAGGCCGTATCGGGTGTGAGGTAGGCTGGTGCCCTCACCTTCTCCAGGAGCGGTTTGACACAGTGCAGCGTGTCCTGGATATACTGGTTCAACTCCGGGTGGCAGGACATCTGCACACAATGCCATGTGGCTGGTGAGGCCCCAGCACCACTGGGGAACCTCCCACACCCCCTCCAGGAGCCGAAGCCTGTCTGCCTGCGGCCAGAGGCCCAGCACTGCCCTAGGGTTCCCACCGGAGAGGCCAACTTCCCATCCTGGGGCTCAGGACTCTGAAGCATCCACAGCAGGGAGAAGCCGGGAGATAAGAATTCAGGCTCACCATTAGCACTTACAGCATCAGGGTTTCCTAATGCAGGGTCCTTCAGCTCCCCCAGAGTCGGAGAAACCCCTAAATTGTGTTTGAGTATAGGGGCATTTTTTAAGAGGGGATCCAGCAATCTGATCAGTTTTCAAAAGTTAGGAATCTGTGAAGATCTGAACGGGAGGGTGAGGCTTCGGTGAGCTAGATACCTAAGGGTCAGGTACAGCTCAGGCAATGCTGTTTCTCTTTCCTTTTCTCAGTACAAACCCTGAGCTTCTACCACCTCCCAGTCAGTATTCAGTCGTTTCTTCTAATGTTTACCGAGTGAGTGTCTTTAAGGGGCAGACACTTCTAGAACTTGGGAATGGAGTATTTTGTGGCTTTGCTTCCCTTTTAACCTACAATCAGGGAAAGCGAGGGCAGAGAGGTGCCTGAGGTTTATAGAAAAACTCTCCCCAAGCCAACCTCAGGGCAACTTCCAGGCCAGCTTTAAGAACTCTTTAGAATACAACCGTAGCCCAGGGCAACGCCACAGCGAAGACCTGGTCTCCAACGCCTGGGGGCGCTCCCAGGTCAGAGGGGACGGAAGGAGCCGCTGCAGCAGGGTTGGGAGGCTGTCAGGCTGCCAGCAGCTGCCAGGGCCTGGAGGCAAGGTCCCCCCGCTGGAGAATGAAGGTGGGACAGAGGTTTAAAACCCACTCCCTGCCCACCCTGTGACTAGGGGGTGGCCCGGGGGCGCCAGCCCGGCTGGGGGGCCCACCTGGACAGGCACGTTGTACTTCTTACGCTTCTGGAAGATGCCCACCGGGTAGACCTCGCGCACGTAGAGGATCAGGTGCACGGCCACCTCCAGGAACTCGCACAGCACGTCGGCCACCACTGCAAGGGGCACACGCCGGCGCTCAGCAAAGTCCGCCCGCACAGACCCTCCCTCCCCCGCCCCCGGTGGCAGGGAGGTCCGGCCTCTCTACCTTGGCCAAAGTTGAGGTCCTGTCGCGTGAGCGTAGTCATCCTTCCCGCCACCTGGTGGGGGGGAGGGACAGGAATGAGGGGCCAGTTCCAGAGGCCCAGGCAGTCTGGGGCCCGCCCGCCCCCGCCTGGGGGGGACCCCTGAACCCAGCATCAGGGCAGCTGGGAACGGGCCCCCACGCCGGCGTCGTACCTCTGGGGCATCAGCTGCGCCGCGAAGAGCCTCCGTTCCCCGGCCACCCACCCGCGGTCTCCGGGGCAGGAAAGGCCAGAGGGGCCGCAGGAGCCGGAGGCGCAGGGCCCGGGGCGGAAAGCGGCACGCGCGGGAGGAGACACCGGGCTGGAAGAAGGCTCCACCCCCGCCCGGGTGGTCCCTCCCCGGAGCGAGTCCCGCCCTTTCCCCTCCCGCGGTACCGGCTCCGGCCTCGGGTCGCCGGTCGCGGCTCGGGCCCCGCGCGGGGAACCCTGGCCCCGACCACTGGCGCCTCCCGCTCAGCCCGCGCGGCGGGGCGCCGCTTCGTGACGTGCGCGGCGCGGCGGCGGCCGGTCCCGGAGGCCGCGCTGGGCCACGCCCACTCCCCCCGGCGGCCGGAGCGGGGGCGGAAGCAGCAGTGCGGGGGGCGGGGCCTCCGGTAGGCGGGACCTTAGAGGGGGCGGGGACACGCCACTCCTCCAGCGGTCGGGGCGGAGCCTCCGAGGGGCGGGGCTTTGTAATGGACGGGGCCACGCCTCCGCGCTGGAGAACTCGGGGAGCCACGCCGCCTCCTTTCACTTTCGGGTG